TGCAGTGCCATGCCTATACTGTCTGTCCTTTAGTTGGTGTAACAGATTGCACAGGCTGTGACCTAAGTCCTGGCCTCCATTCAGTTTCTCTGCAGTGCCTGAAACGCCAAATCAGACCCTTCTCTGTAACTAGGGCCTCCCCTTCCCATCAATAACAGCACCCTCACCCCAACATCTTTCATTCCTTTTCTGAAGATCGAGTTTTAAACCTGACTAGCCAAGATAATGGCATTTTTAAGAAGCACTTTTCTACGGGGCATAGTGGCACATGGGCACAGTGGCACATACCTACAATCCTAGCATTTGAGAGGCTGAGGCAGGAAGATTAAGAATTCAAAGCCAGCCTGGGTACCTAACAAGTTCCAGGCTTGCCTAGGCTGTATAGGAATACCATGTCTCAAAAAAGGAGCTCTTTTCTTTCTTTAGTTCTGTTTATCTTTGTGATGTATGTGTTCGTGTTGGTGTGCATGCAGGCGCATGGCCGTCAGGGGACAACCTCAGGCTTTAGACCTCACTTTTCACCTTGTATGACTCAGAGTCTCTTGTTCGCAGCTGTGTACCCTAGGCTAGCTGGCACATGAGCTTTTGGGGAGTCTCCTATCTCTGCTTCCCATCTTGCTGAAGGCACACAGAGATTATAGGAGATGTTATCAGAGACAGATCATCTAAACCTGACAAGGAGTAGATTCTCTGTTATAACCTTCAATCTGGTATGACGGCCCAGATATTGATTTTTGTCAGGACCTGGTCTCCATCAGCAACATTTTCCTCTTGGCTCCCTTCTCAAGCAGGCTCTTTCTGGTGATAACAGGTTTGTCTTCTACCACTTTACCAGCCTTCTGGAATTTCCTTCTGGGTAGCTGTGCAGAAGGCCTAGGCCTAGACACTCATGGGCTCAGCTTGGTGTAGGGCCATCCCTAGGCCAGGCACTGGCTCAGCATGGGTTAGCCCCATCCCTGAGCCTACTGATGTGAGAGGCATGGGTAGGCCTTTGCTTCCTCCCAGGCTCAGAGAATGGTGTCATCCACCTGAGCCAGGTGGAATGAGAGTAGGGTTGGTTCCCAGAAGGGAATATTGGGATATGTTACAGAAAGATGAGAGAATGACTGAGCGACCAGAAAAACCATGTGTACGTCAGCCATTTTCCTCTGCATCCAGCTTCTCTGCCTTAATCAGCTGTGGGTAGGGTGAAGAAATGGACTGTGTTCTCTGAGTTAGGAAAAAGGGAAACAGTAGGAGAGAGAGAAGAGTTTAATGATTGTATTGTGTTGGCTGTGTCTTGAAAAGTGATGGGTTTTGTGTTGTGTGTATGCTTGTGGGTATGTGTGGTGCTGAGGATCAAATCTAGCATCTTCATGTGCTAGGCAAGAGCTCTGCCTCTAAGCTGCATCCCCTTATCCTAAAGGACATATAGGAACCTGAGAGTTCTCTCCAGGGAGCAGAGGGGTCCTTGTCACACCTTCCTGCTGTCTTAGTAACTGTCATGGTTGCTGTGAACTTAAGCAAGGAAAGGTTGGTTTTTTATTTTGTTTTGTTTTGGGTTTTTTTGCTTACAGTTTGAGGGACCCAGTCCCTTATGGCAGGGATGGCATGGTGGCAGAAGCATGAGGTAGTTGGTCACATTGTATCTGCAGTCAAGAAGCAGAGAGAGCTGAATGCTGGTGTTCAGCTCATTCTTTCCTTTCTATATGCAGTCAAGAACCTCAGCCTGTGGATGGTGCTGCCCACATTTGAGGGTAGGTCTAATACCTCAATTAACCTAATCTAGAAACTCCCTCACAGAATGCCCAGAGGCTTATCTCCTAGGTGATTCTAGATCCTGTGGAGTTGATGGTATTTTTTTTAAATAATGCAATTGAACTTTTAGTTAATTTTCATTTTGTTTATAAGTGTTCTTCCTGTGTGTACCTAGATGAACCTTGTGTGTACAATGTCAGAGGAGGCCAAAAGAGGGCGACAGATCCCTTGGAACTGGAATTTCAGATGGTTGTGAGCTGCCATGTGGTGCTGGGAACCAAACCCAATCCTCTGCAAGAGCAGCCAGTGCTCTTAACCACTGAGTCATCCAACCCCTAAGTTGGCAATATTAACCATCACATCTAGTAAACTTTTGACAAGCTAGGGCCCTGCAGTAGTCAGAAGGTAATCTGTGACACCCAAGAGGCTTCACGGGAGTCTACAAGCTGCAGGAATTTGCTTCCTGGACTTACACTTTGAACAACCCAAAGCCTGCAGGGCCAGGGCCCTTCCCATCCACCTGTCCCCTTCCTGCTGTGTGTGTTCCCTCTTTCTCAGTCAAGGTTCTCTAAACCACTATCCCCTTCCTCTTCCTGGCCTCCCAGTCATCCTCCAACCAGTTTAAGTCTTCTCCTTCCTCCACTTGTTAACTCCTTGTGCCCACACTACCAGAGACCACGTCCCTTGAGGCCTTATCTCACAACTTCTGTCAGGCACCCCTGGGCTGTGGAATATTCCCTCTTTGCCCTTGAGCCTATCTCCTTCCCAGGCAGCTCACTCTCCCTGGTTCTCATCATCAGAGTTTCTTCTCTGACTCCTTCCACTGTTCCTTCTCTGCTGGTTTTCCAGTCTGTGTATCTCCATGGTTCTAGTTCCATAAGTAGTCCTTAGAGATTCTCAGATGACTCGGTCACATGGCGAAGGAGAGGGCCAGTCAGACACGGGACTGTCAATGCACATGGTGGCTCAGATTGCAACCTTGAATTTCAGATTCACCTCAGCATCCCAAGTTGACTGACTTGTCAAACTGAAAACAGCCGTCATTGGGGTCCTTACCCCTCCTGTCCCACCCAAGAGTTTACCTTCTGGTATTTTCACTTTGGTGATGGGGATGCTGGGAGTACCTAGACGACGTCCTTTTTTCCTTCCCCTTTCCACTTCAAACGTAATAAATCACCCTGGAAATTTCTCCTTCCTTCCTCCCTATAGTCATCCTCCCCATGCCTTTTTATTTTGTTTTTGCTTTGTAACCAGGCCCATCCAAGTCTCTACCTTCTATTTTGAAATGGTCTCTCGCTGAACCTGGCCCTCACTATTTGGCTAGACTAGCTGGCCAGCGAGCTGCAGGTTCTTGTCTGCTCCCTACCCTCTCCAACACTGGGATTACAGCCCAGCTTTTTACAAGGGTGCTGGGGATCCTAACACCCGTCTTCATGCTGTGCGGCGGGCACTTTGCCCGCTGAGCCGTCTCCCCAGGTTTTTTTTGATGGCATCTCACTGTGTGGGCCAGGGTGGCTTAGAATGCCTGGGCTCAGGCTATAGTTCTTTCTCAGTCTCCCAAGGAGTGCCACCAAACTGGGCTAATTTTGTTTTCTTAGTGTTTTTGGAATCTGTTTTTCTCCCTCCGTCTTCATTCACACTTCTAATCCAGGCCACCTTCATTTCTTTTTCTGGATTGCTGCAGAAGATCCCCAGTTTGTGCTTTGGCCCATCCCAGCCTGTCCACACCACCCAGATGAGCTGTTGGAAGAGCCCATCTGCCACTTTCCTCAGAGGGCACCCGCTCCCTACTGTCACCAAGTTTCCCTCGTCCTCACCTCCCCCTTCCCCCCTCCCCTTCCTGCTCTTTTTTTTTTCTTCTCTCTTTTCCTCCTTCCCTCCCTTTCTTCTTCCCTCCCTTCTTCCTTTCCTTCCTTCTTTCCAGAGTCTTGCTATGTAGCCCAGGTTGGCCTGAAACCTCTCCATCATCCTGCCTCCACTTCCCAAGTCCTAGAATTACAGGCATCCACCACCACAGACAGCTTGCCAATAACAGTTTTTTGTTTGGTTGGTTGGTTGGTTGGTTAGTTGGGTTTCTTTTGAGGCAAGGTTGCCCTGTAGTCCCAGCTAGCCTGGAACTCACTGTGTAGACCAGGCTGGCCTTGGTCTCACAAAGATCCATCTGCCTGCCTCCCAAGTGCTGGGATTAAAGGCATGCACCACCACACCTGTTGCCAGTAAGTTTTTTAACGTGTTCAAAAAGCTGTCTGTGGGAGCTGAAGAGATGGCTTAGCAATTAAGAACATTGCCTGCCCTTGTAGAGGATCCAGGTTCAATTCCTAGTACCTACGTGGCAGCTAACAACCATCTGTAACTCCATTTCCAGGAGATCCAACACCCTCTGTGGCCTCCATGGGCATTGCACAGACAGGTGCACTTGCATACATGTAGGCAAAACACTCATACACATAAAAATAAATGAATAAATTTTAAAGAGCTGTCTGTGCTAGCCCCTGCATTTTAATCTGCTCAGCTCCCTCCCCTCCTCTACTTTCAGCTTTCCCAACCCTCAGCTCCCCACCAGCCTGGTGCCTCTCCCCACCCCTCTGCTTACTGTCCTTTTCTTCAGTCATCTGCTTTCCTATTCTTGTGTCCATTGAGATGGGGGTCTCACTACATAGCCCAGGCTGCCTTTGAACTTGTGACCCTCCTGCCTCAGCTTCCTGAGTGCTGGAATGTCACGTGTGTGCTGCCTCGTCCTGCCCTTTCTTCTTTCACATGCTGCTCACACCCCTCCCAGGAAGCCTTGACTCTCAGGTTAGTTTGGGAACACTTAAAGGCCCAGGCCACTGCAGGGAAAGTGGTCGCAGGGCAGTTTCCCAGGCATATATTTATGTCCAGACCCACCAAAGTTTACACGCTATACACAAGCCATTTACTAATGTCAGCATCCTGTGCATATCTCTGTCCCTGCACTCACCCAGGGTTTTGGAGTAATTTACATGTAATTTGCATCACCTCTGCCCACAAGTCCCCTTGAGGGATACAGTGATCTTCTTTGACTCTCAAGGTCTGTGCTAGGTGCTAAATGTTTGTGGAGAGATGCACAGAAGCCACGGGCTATAACAGGAGGTTGGCTTCATTTTATTTGGGTTTAGTTTTGGTTTAAGGGAAGCAATTTATCATTTGATGGAGCATCTATTTCAGGGACTTTATTTTTTATTTTTAGTAAAGACCAGCTGTTTACCCAGATGTGGCTAATGATTTTACAACTTCTCTCCTAGACGCCATGCCACACGAAGAGTGACGTCTTGCCCGTTCTTAAAATGGAAGACTTGGGCAAGACCTTCGGCTCTGAGGAGGAAGAAGCAAACTATTGGAGGGACCTGGCCATGACCTACAAGCAGAGGTCAATCCACAGTGATCTCCCATGTTTCCCCCCAGGAGAACAGCAGCAGGCCTACTGTGTATTGCTCTGTGGTGAACACTGACCCACGAAGAAACTCATATTGCACTGTTCTGTAGAGCAACCTCTCTCCCCAGCCTGGGGAGGAAAGATAGCCTGCCTCAGTTGTGAGAGACAGACAGAGCTGGGATTTGAACCAGAAACTGAGGTTCCTAACCATCCTAACATCCTTTCATGTGTTCCTAGTTGTCAGATCTGGTCAGCTCTTCTGTTGGGGAGAAATTTTTATTGTGCCTAGCAAAATAAGCTGTTGAGGATTTTTAAAACTGAAACTGGTGGGGCTGGATAGATGGCTCAGTAGTTAAGAACACTGACTGCTCTTGCAGAGGACCCAGGTTCAGCTTTCACACCCACATGGTGGCTAACAACTATAACTCCAGTTCCAGGGAATCCAGTGCCCTATTCTGACCTCTGTGGGCAGTGCACGGCATGGGTGCACTTACATACATGTGTATGAGTGCATTGCTTGCATGTATGTAAGTGCACCTGTGTCGTGCAATGCCTGCGGGGATCAGAAGAGGGCATCAGATCCCCTCTAACTAGAGTTACTGACAATTTTAGCCACGATGTAGGTGCTAGGAATCGAACCCATCTCTCCAGCCCCCATAATAAATATTTTTTTAAATTGACCAGAAATTCATTATAAACATGAAACCATCAGAGAATTTTTAAAAAAGAAAAAGAAAAATTAAAACTGGTGTTTCAGTGCTCATTACTGGGAGTTAACAGGTGTACATGTGTGTTGGGTTCAACACTGTGTAGCCCAGGCTGGCCTTGAACTCTTGAGTATTCTACCTCAGCCTCTTGAATTTTGTGATTACAGGTGTGAACTTCCATGCCAGCTCTAACAAACTACATCTTCTTGTCCATAAAATGGAAATATCGATGGCTGGATAAAAGCATGGTCCACATTAATTGTGCAATAAATCTATTTGCAATCCTGCTGCAGGGCAGAGAATACACAGGAGGAGCTCCGAGAATTCCAGGAAGGAAGCCGGGAATACGAGGCTGAATTGGAAACTCAGCTGCAGCAAATGGAAACCAGGAACCGAGACCTCCTATCGGAGAATAACCGCCTTCGCATGGAGCTGGAGACCGTCAAGGTGAGCGGGTCCAGGGGAGATGTCCACACATAGGGGTGGCTTGTGGCAGGTGATAGAAGCAGCCTCTCTGCAGGGTGAAGGGCAGGCCCAGGCCCACTCCCTCCTGCAGGCCTGGCACATGGTTGTGGCCACTGAACTTTCTATGCCTCAGTGAGTGGAAATCTGTGAGAAGCAAGTCACATGCATGTCCCACAGCCCTTCTTGGTGGTCTATACTGATTTCACAGGGGACGTGGCTAGGACTGCTCTTCAGAAGTTGGACTGTCACTAGAATTGTAGATTCTTCAGATGGTGTCTAAGGTAGCCCAGGCTGGCCCTGAACTCACACATAGCTGAGGATGGGCCTGATTCTGGATCCTCCTGGATCCACTGCTGAGCAGTGGTATTAAAGATAATGCACCATCATTCCTGGATTTAGAATGGCTGATTCTTCTCTTACAAGGCCCAGTATGGTAGCTCCTAACTACATGTGGCTATTGAAATGTAAGCTAATGGGGGGAAAGAATTAATTTCTCCACTGACACTAGCCACATTTTAAGTGCTCTGTAGCCATATGTAACTTGTGAATCTAGATGCTGGACATAGGGGCTGTAGGACATTTCATTGTTCTAGAACATTCTGTTGGACCATGTCAGTCCCAAACAAATTTATTAGCTGGACACTACAGCAGTTCTACCCCACCCCCCACTAGCACCCATGTGTCTTCTTTTTCTTTTGGTCTTTTTGACACAGGGTCTCTCTGTAGCCACAGCTGGCCTAGAACTTGCTATGTAGACCAGGCTGGCTTTGAACTCAAAGAGATCTGCCTCCCTCTGTCTCCCAAGTGCTAGGATTAAAGGCATGTGCCACCATGCCCAGCCTCTGACTTTATTTTTCATGGTTTGAGTTACCTGTGATTGACCAAAATCCAAAAATATTAAGTGGAACACTCCAGACATACACAATTCATACATTTTCAATAACTTTTATTGTGGTATATTTGTTATAATTATTCTATTTTATAATCATTATTACTTTCTTAAAGTTTATAACTAACCGTCACAGGGAAACATGGAAATAGCATAGCATATACATGGCTTGGGCTCTTGGAATGTGCTCCCCACAGATAAAGGGGAGGTAATGGGTTGATATTTGAGACTGGACACTGTTGTGAGGGGCTAGGTTTTGCATTGTGGGATGCTAAGTAGCATCCCTGGCCTCTATAGGCTGGATCTCCTAAGGTTATAACAGCCAAAAGTACCTTTCTATATGGCCAAGTGTCCAGAGAACCACAGTCCTAAAGGACGAAAACTGACTGTTATGCATTGTTTGGAGCCTGACAGATGGCCCTCGAGTACATACTGTGTTCCAGAGACCAGCACTCAGCCCTGGCTACCTCTTAGAATCAACAGCCCACATCATAAACATGAGACAGATGTGAGCCCCGGCTTCTACTGCATTCTGAGGTTCCATTTCTCAGTAAAAGTCTGTAAGAGCCCTACATGTCTGTGAGTCTCTTTTAATGTGTATTTAGAGACAGGGTTTTGCGTAACCCAGGCTGGACTTGAATTTCTGATCCTCCTGCCTCCACCTCCTAAATGCTGAGATGACAGATGTGTACCACCATGCCTGGTCTATACAGTGCTGGGGATCGAACCCAAGGCTTTGTGATTGAACCCAGGACTTTGTGCAAGCTAGACACGCACTCCATTAACTGAATCACATCCCCAGCCTTTTCTCTCTTTAAATCTCCTCTGTGTAAGTTTTGGTGAACAAGTGGAAGAAAGAACTGATCCCTCTAGAATGTGTCAGAGCAGTGAAAGGCGATGAGCTCCTTGCCTTTCTAGAAGCTTTCTTGGGATGTGAGGAGAGACATATGATAACTGTCATCTTTCCGGCATGAGTGGCTCCAAGAGGAAGTTCTGCACAGTTTGGGAAGGCTAGGGAGCTGAGAGTCTTTTGAATGGTGTTTGAAGGTGTCTCTCTGTGTGTTTATGACTATATGTGTATCTCTGTGTATCAATGTGTGTCTAATGTGAGTGTTCAGAGTCTGTGTGTGTGTCTGTGTGTGTGTCTGTGTGTGTTGTGAGTCTTTTTGTCTATATGTGTATTTGTGTATATGTGTCTCTGGGTGTGTATGTGTCCTTATATGTTGTAGGTCTCGTGTATGTGCCTGTCTGTCTGTCTGTCAGCCAGCAGTTTGGTGCGTAGGGGATATGGCTGACAAAATGTTCTTCTGGATCCTTCTCAGACAGAATCAAGAATGAGTGTCAACAGGGACGCTTGACCTCGGTCATGTATGAAACAAAGTGAGAGCAATGAATGCATCAAGGATTAGGGGGACCTCTGAAACCTTGGTGGATGAGCAGTGAAGTTCAGGCTTTATGGTGTACTCAGAGAACCTAAAATAACCATTTGTAGACCAAAACATGGCTACGGATGTTGGCTTATCCTTCAGTGATTTTTATTCAACATTTTGCCATGAAAGCTTCCAAGCACTGAAAGCATTTTTCAGCAAAGCCCCCTACACTCATCACCAAGGCTCTCCAGTAGCTTGCTCATACCTCTAATTATATGGATCTCTGTCTATCCACCTAGCCTGGTCGCAGATGCACTCAGAGTACATTGCTAGCCTGGTTGTCATTAATTAGAGTTGGTTCCCTTTCTCCTTTTGATAATAAAATTAATATCCTTTTGTTTGTTCTTTGGAGACAGGGTCTCACTATATAGCCCAAGCTAGCCTGGAGCCCTAGGAGACCCTCTTGTCTCAGTCTCCTGAGTGCTGGCATTACAGGCATGAGCAACCATATCTCATGAAAATTAACATCTTTAGTTGTCTTTTTAAAATTTTATTCATTATTTTTATTTTATATGTATGCGTATAATGCCTATATGTATGTAAGTGTATCTGTGTTGTACAATTCTCATGGAGGTCAGAAGAGGGCGTCAGATTCCCTGGAACTGGAATTACAGATGATCGTTAGTTGCCACATGGGTGTTGGGAACAGAACCCGGGTCCTTCACAAGAGCAGCCAGTACTCTTAACTGCTGAGCCATCTCTCCAGCCCCAGTTGTCTTGTTTTTTTGTGGGGCGAGGATCTTGAGCATGCTAGGCAAGTGCCCTACCTGTGAACTTTCTTTACTTTCTAAGTTTCACTCTGTAGCCCAGGCAGCCCTTGAATTTGGGATTCTCCTGTCTCAGCCTCCCAAATGGTGTCCTTTAAAAGACACCAGGTCTTTTAAAGTTTTACAACACATTTATTTGGGCAGAGGGCATGTGTCAGAGGACGACTTGCAGGAATCCATTCTTTCCTTCCACCATGGGGGTCCTCAGGCCATCAGCCTTGGTGGCAGGCACCTTTTCTGAGCCATCTTGCTGGCCCAGTTTTCTAAGTTTTTAAAAAATATTTAATATAAAAATCTAAGGTTTGTAAAGTTTCCCAGAAAAATTTGGATTTCTAACTTCCCTTGAGAGTTGGAAGACCTGGCCACCCAAGGCTTGCAGTGCTCCATACCAGTGGAGAGCTCACCAGTGTCTGTCCTGGTCCCTGAACCGTGACACTGAAGACTGTTGCTTGCTGCTTGTCCTACATGGGGCCCATCTCTCATTGACCCTGCAAGCATTTGACCCTTTCCTAGGTGATGAGGTATCTTTCCAGTTCTCATCCAGAAGGGCCCTTGAGGCTGGAAAGCTGTGCTCTCAGCCTGCAGAGGGTAAGAGGCCTTCCAAAGGTGCTCAGTACCTGCCCTTCAGTTACAAAGTAATTACATGCTGCAAGGCTAAATCTTGGACCTGCAAAAGACGGACCATTACACCACATGACAGATGCATGAGGCTTGGTGTAGAAAGTGAGGGAAGAAATGCAGACACCTCAGAGAGCCTTCATTGTCACCCACAATTGACTGTCAATCACCCTCAGCAGGTGTGTCAGCTGAGGGGGGCTGTTTGACAGCTGACTTGTTTAGTGTACATTGAATACAACAGCCTGTATGGGATCAAACAACATCTGTGGTGGCCTCTGTCTGCTGACAGTTTTTCACAGTCAGCCCCAGATGAAAACTCAGTGAGACAGCAACTTTCATGTTACAAATTCAAAGGTGACTGCCTTAATCTATGCCAGCAGAGGAGCTGGGTACTCCTGGGATCGAGGTTAATGAGCTACGATCCTGTTTGATTTAGAATGCCTCTAGATAAAGCATGGGAGACAATCAGAGCCAAAACTGGCTAGTGGCCCTTGTGTGCCCATGTTGTATGTGTGCTCAAGTGAAGACACTTGCTCTGTGATCCTAGGCAGGAAATGGGAGTGTTGAGAAATACCAGCAACCACAGGATGTTGAAGGCCTCTCCCTATGTTGGTCATTCTTCAGCAGACCCTTAACCCTGCCTCTCTGGCCTGGGTACCATGACATCACCTTCTGGCACATTGACTGGACCGTTTCTCACAGCAGCTTTGTTTACTGGATCAAGCCAGGAAGAGAAACTAGCTTTTTTTCTGATTGACTTTTAGATTATAATAGACCTTGGGCCTTTCTGGAGGCTTGTGGTTTTTGTTTGTTTGTTTTGTTTTTTCATGCTGTATTTGTAGGAGCTTACAAGGTGTCTGATGTAAAGGAATTTGAAAGGGGAGAAAGAGCCACGTGTGGTAGTGCACTCCTGTAATCCTAGCCCTTGGGAGGCTGAGGTACGAATATCATGAGTTTGAGGCCAGCCTGGGCTATGTAGTAAGACTTTGTTTTAATTAAAAAAAAAAAGAGAGAGAGAGAGGTGGAGCTGGGTTCAGATGTGTTAACATGCACCAGCCTAAAGGCTAGCACACAGTAGGCATGTAGTAAGCATTAGCTGCTCCTTTGGAGGACACTGACCAGTCTCACTGAGCTGCTTTTGTAACCATTTCCTTTCCCAGCTTCCCTTCTCCTGCATTGCAGGGGTGTGACTTGGATCAAAAAGTTGGGATGATGTCTTCTTTTGTGAGGTGCCAACCGCTCCTGACCCTCTGTTTGCAGCATATCACTAGTGTGTGAAGCATGTGTATGTTGCTGTGTTGCTGGTGTGTGTGTGTGTGTGTGTGTGTGTGTGTGTCTTTCTTTGACTGTAGACACCTTGAATGATTCATTTGAAGATTGTTGGGTATTGTAGGGAGCAGGCATGAAAGTAGACAGGATAGCATGTGCTGAGATGGGCAGGCATGTAGTTGGACAGTCAGGGCACGTATCCTTTAAGTGACTGCCACTTATCCCCAGGATCTTCTCATACTCACCTGAGATTCCAGGTCTGTGGAGAGAAGGCTCTGGTGACTGAATTTAGCAGGACTGGGAGAGGAGGTGTGGAACTGCATCTCAGGGTCTTGAGAAGAGATACCTCAAAGAGACTCCAAAATGAGAGAGAGCTGTCTACCTTAAGAAGTTGGGGTGGGAGCTGGGGTTATAGCTCAATTGGTAGAGCTCTTGCCTAGCATGCACGAGGCCCTACATATGATCCCTAGCACCTCATAAAATAGACTGGAGGCACATGCCTACCACTGGGGAGGCAGAGGGGGGAGGTTCAGTTCAAGGTCCTCCTTGGCTGGTTTGAGGCCAGCCCGGGATACATGAAGCCCTGTCCCCACCAAGAAAGTGGGAGTGCTTTTACTCGGGTGAAGGATAGGGGAAGAAATGATGTTCAGTGGCTGAAGTCATCAGATGCCACTACAGGTAGCTTACACAGTCCATGAGTGACCTTCCGAATTTGTAAAGATGACAGAAGAGATATGTAAGCACAGTATGTGAACGTCTTCAGTCATTGACCTGGCCTTGGTTCTGCCCTGCAGGAGAAGTTTGAAATGCAGCATTCAGAAGGCTACCGACAGATCTCAGCCTTGGAGGATGACCTGGCTCAGACGAAAGCCATTAAAGATCAACTGCAGAAATACATCCGGGAACTGGAACAAGCCAATGATGACTTGGAGAGAGCCAAACGGTAGGGAGGAGGGGACAGGCTTGTGCCTCACTCACCCTTTTCTCTACCAGTAGGCACCAAGGGAGACCTGAGTTCAGTGCAGCAAAGCCATGCCATTCACTGCCATGCTGCCTGTGGGAGAGATGGACCACAGCCCGCTGGTGATGTGGGAAGGGCTGGTGTCCAGGTCATAGGGGCTGTGAAATAGGCTATATCAATTTGGCTCCTGGTAGGGATTGGCAGGCAAAGATTGCCAGAGGAGAGCCAGTGGACTAAGATCAGAGGGACGTATAATGGAAGAGTATGAGGGAAGAACTTTCCAGAAAGATGGATGGGTATGTGTTAAGGAAAGGAGCATATTTACAAATAGCCTTTCTAGCCAGGTGTGGTGGTGCATGCCTTTAATCCCAGCACTTGGGAGGCAAAGGCAGGTGGATCTCTGTGAGTTCAAGGCCAGCCTGGTCTGCATAGTGAGTTCCAGGACAGCTGGGGCTATGGGGAAACCCTGTCTCAAAAAGACCAAAAAAAAAAAACCAAAAACACCCAAAAACAAATAGCCTTTCTTGCTTGCTTGCTTGTGTGTGTGCATGTGTGTCCTCAGGACCATCCGCTTTTTTGTTTTATTTTTATTTTATGTGTATTTTATTATGTGTGTTTTACCTGCATGTATGTATGTGCACCACATGCATGCAGTGCCTACAGAGACCAGAAGAAGGGGTTGGATCTTCTGGAACTGGAGTTAAAGGCAGTTGTGAGCCCCCATGTGGGTGGTGGGTGCTAGGAACCTAACCTGAGTCCTCTGGAAGAACAGGAAATGCTCTTAACTCCTGACCCATCTCTCTGCCCCCTTTTCTGAGATTTCTTTCCTTACATCCTGAGCATACTCCTGACAGCTAATTTAAAATCCTTCCCCCCTGTTTGCAGCGTCTGTTATCTCAGCGCTGGCTCCCAGTGACTGCCTCCTCTCTTGAATTTGGGCCTCATTTTCCTTGTATTTCTCGAGTCTGGTCCGTTCGGGTGTGTTCTGTAATTCTTGTTTTACAAGCCTATTGACTTTGTTCTGTCTGTACTTTTTCTGTCTCTTTCTCCAAGCAGTTAACTTGGCTGAATTTGCATCCATACTGTCCTGTGTGTGTGACAGGCTGTAGCCAAAATGCCTTTGGTTCTTTTTGTTTGGGGAACTACTTTGAGTCTTTCCCTGTGTGGGTAGGGATCTGCAGAAGTTGAAGCTCCTTTGTGGTGCTGGTTTTCTGTCACCGGCACTTTTTTAGGTTAAAAAAAAAAGACTTGAGAAGATGCAGAATGTCCAGCACTGCCTGCAGCTTCCTAGTGTTTCCTGGTTTCCACTAGCTTTTCCACATTTTTTATTACATTTGCTTATTTATTCTTGTGGGTAGAATGAGCTATCACTCTTCTTTGATCCCCAGTTTTGCCATCTCTGTTTGTTAAATCTTCCATCATTTCCCTCCTCATCTCGAGCTCAGCTGTGTTATTCTGTAATCTTTCCCTTACCCTGGCATCTAATTCTGGATTCTGTATTGTTCAGAGTGTGAATTACTGCCCCATCATGACTGGATGACTGTGACTCTATGGTATTGAAGCCACATTCTGATGTCTAGCAAAACGCTGGTTTGCTGCCATTTCCACCCATGTATCTTTGATCAAAAGCAAGTCACATGGTCACACTGAGTCAGAGGATGGGAGAATCTATTCTGCCAACAGTGAGGCACCACAAGGGTGTGGGTACAAGGAGGGGTCAAGACTTGGGGCCAACAATGCTGTTTCCCACAAGAAGTGAGTACATTCACATAGCTCCAAAGTCCATAGTAGGGGGTAGAGCATTCTTAAATCTTTTTTTTTTTTTAAATTTTTTAAAATTGTGTGTGTGTGTGTGCATATGTATACCTGTTTGTGGATACCCACAAAACCCAGAAGAGGGCATCAGATCCCCTGGAACTGGAGTTACAGGTGGTTATGAGCCACCTGATATGGGTGCTAGGAACTGAACTCAGAGCCTCTGGAAGAGCGGTATGTGCTCTAAACTGCTGAACCATCTCTCCAGCATGAGATTTTTTTTTTTTTAATGGAAATTCAGGCACATAAAAATAGACATTGTTCAAATCCCTGCCATGGATGGGGGAAAGGCCCCTCAGGATTTATAAGCAGTTAATGGTTGCTGGGGTTGGGGGGCATTTTCTTCAGTGGTGTGGCTACCCACTCAGCTCATGCTCCTGTAAGCAACCCTAGTGAAACTCCGAATCACACACACAAAGACATGAATATGGTGGGGGGGGGCAACTTGGGGAAAGTAGAGGGGACAGCAGAAGTGGGAGGCACATAGGATGATGATGGTGGTTCATATGCTCAAAATGTAGTACTTGTATGACTATGTCCTAAGGAAACTATTGTTATGTATAATTAATACATGATGATGAAAAAAATAGACCTTACTAGCCCACCTCCCCCATTCCCCTGTAAAGAGCATTTGTGTGCAGTGTCACACATCCTGCTTTTCCCCATAACAATAGATCTTGGAGATTGGTCTGTTGGAGGACACAGAGCCACCCTTGTTCTCTGTTTTCCCAAACACATACGTAATAGTCTGTTGGGCGGCTGGTACCGAGTAATGCCGTAGTTTATTTTTCCAGTCTGCTGTGGGTGGGTGTCTATTGTTCGAGGATGAGCATTGCTGTGATAAATAACCTCGCATGGGTGTGTATTAGCACTCTGTAGAGTGCTGTCCCAGGGTGGAATCGTTGTCTAAGGACCAGCCTGTGTGATTTGGACAGGACTTGTCTACTTGTTCTCTGTGCTTTTTACCAGTTTACAGTCCCCGAAGCTCTGTGCCGAGTTCCTGTTCTCTAAGCCTCACTAACACAGAGTTTCCAAATGTGGGACTTCTGCCCATCAAATAGGTGAGAAATTGGTACATTTCTGAATTCTAAAGTGATTGGGATCTATGGTATTCCCTTTTCTATGATCTCTGCCTCCCTCATCCCCAGTGTTTATAATCAAACCCAGAGCCTTCTGTGTACTAGACAAGTGCTCTACCACTCCAGTCCCATTTTGAAGGGTGGTTTTTGTTTTTGTTTTTGTGGGAAGGTGGGGTCTTTCTAAAAAAAAAGTTTAAACAGAGTTTCATGTAGCACAGGCTAGCCTTGAACCTTCTTTGTAGCCAAGGGTGACCTGGAACTCCTGATCATCCAACCTTCACTTCCTGAGTGTTGGAATTACAGATGTGCCACCACACCCAATTTATAGAAACTGGATTTGTGTATCTGTGTTTTCATTGTTTCTAAGAGACTTTCATCTGTTTGTGACATCAATGGAAAGAATTTGGAGATTCTTCTTGGCCGTGTCTATTGAATGCTTTATTGTGCACGAGTCATTTGACTTCTGTACAATCAGGTTTTTTATAGTCAGTCACAGTTAGGAGGGCCTTCTGTCTCCAGTCTCTGAAAATGCTTAGCTTATGTTTTCTAGTTTTAGAGGGAGCAGGGAGTTGAGACAGGGCCTCTCAATGTAGCCCAGGCTGGCCTTGAATTTGCAATTCTCATGCCTTGGCTTCCTACGTTCTAGGGTTACAAGCACATGCTGTCAGGCCTGTCCTGTCATTCATTGGTGAGACTATAGAATGGTGTGAGCTCATACTGGCCAGAGCCAGTCCTCTCCTGCTGATTCGTTGTCATACCATCTTTCAGATCAGTTCCTAGTGTCTTTTTCCCCCATTAACATCAATTGGTACTTTTTTAAGTACCTGTCTCCACCTTCTGAGGCTGGAACTGCAGGTGGGCCGCCATGGCCACCTGACATTTACGTGGGTTCTGGGGATCCAAACTCTGGTCCCCATGTTTGTAGTAATTGCTTTAACTGCTGAGCCATCTCCCTAGCCTGGTGCTGAGTCCCCTCGCCCTGGAAACAGCACTTCTGCTTTTCCAGAAGTATTTTGTGTCCCTCATTCTGTGAATTTCTAGACATTTGATCTTTTCCATTGTTGCTTGTCATGCCAGAGACATTTGAACTGATTTTGATGTTAGTCCTGAGTATTTTCCCTCTCGTCTCTAAGCACTTTGGGTAACTTTATCCTATTTGCTTTCTCTCAAGATCCTTGGAGAATAGACTAACATGGTATACATAGGAAATGTTGAATAAGTGAATAAATCCAGCCTTCCCCTGCAGTTAGTTGAAGGCATAAGAACCCCAGTGAGTGTCACTGGTAGGAGGGCCTGGGTGTTAACCTGAGCTCCAAACCTGCTCCAACCACAGAAAATATATGCAGCATGCCAAGTGCTTTCTAGGGGCAAATACGCAGTGCAAATAAAAACATGCCAGCGCTTACTGAGCCTGTTTCTGAAACAGTTCTGCTCTGCTTTTAGATTACTTTATTCCTGACCTCATGTCATGAGGACCCCTTACTACCCCCACTTTACATATGAGGAAACTGAGGTTCAGAGAAAGTAGCTGGGCCAGAGTTACACATTAAACAAATTGTTTTGAGATTCTAGCCCTCTCAGTCCCTTTACCATTCACCACCACGTTGTCTAGTGAAATATCTACCTTGTCCACAAAGAAGTGGCTGTTGGAGGGCAGCTGAATGTGGGCTAGTGTTTAGATTTTTTAAATTTATTTTTATGGGTATAGATGGATGTGTGTGTGTGTGTGTGTGTGTGTGTGTGTGTGTGTAAACCAGAGGTCAACATTGTTTGTCTTCCTCAGTCACTCTCCATGTTATTTTCTGACACTATTTCTCATTGAACCTGGAGCTCTCTGTTCCTGATAGGCTAGGCTGAGTGCCAGAAGTCCCCAGGGTCTGCCTGTGTCCACCTTCCCAGCACTGGGATTATAGACATGTGCTGCTGTACCCAGCTTTTTATGTGGGTGCTGGAAGTCTGAATACAAGTGTTCAAGACCTTTAGTGACTGAGCCATCTCGGTAACCTCAATGTCTTTTTTTTTTATCTATTTATTTTTGTGTCTGAGTGTTTGGCTGCATGTAAGTACACTCATGTAATGCAGCGTAGAGGCCAGAAGAGGGCGTCAGATCCCCTGGAACTGGAGTTAAAGATGATTGTTAGTCACCATGTGGGTGCTGGAACTGAACCCAGGTTCTCTGCAAGAGCAACCAGTGCTTTTAACCACTGAACCATCTCTCCAGCCCCTAGCCTCATTTTCTTAACTTTCAGGTCACTAAGAGATGAATGTTGGGCTCTTCGGCCTATTTAAGCATGTGTTACTGGACTACGCATTGTGTTGGGTTGTTCTGAATACCAGTCAGTTTATGAGCTTCCACAGCAAGCTGGAGCAGACTGCTGTCAGTGACTGGAAAGAGCATGTGGTCCTGGTTGGTGGAGACTTGGCTCATCACTTAGTGTCATATCCTATGGTGGTCATCAGACACCCTGCCCTCAAGACAGCCTGGGGCATCTCCTCCACTCTGAAGATTCCATTTCTCAGGTGAAAAGCCTGAGTCCCTGGAGGCCTGTGGGTGTCTCGGAGCACCCATGCAGGGATTTCTGCCCAGGCACAGCTGAAGGTATCCCAACAGACGCTGCTGTTGCTGTCTTGGATAACTTTGCATTTCTCCTGCCCAGAGCCACCATCATGTCCCTGGAAGACTTTGAGCAGCGCTTGAATCAAGCTATCGAAAGAAACGCCTTCCTGGAGAGTGAGCTGGATGAGAAGGAAAATCTTCTAGAATCCGTGCAGAGGCTGAAGGATGAAGCCAGAGGTCAGAGGCCTTGTTCTGTGTTTTCCTGGGCATGGTCTTTTCCCCATCCCTGACAATATCTTGCCCCTCGGCTTTGCCCAGCACTGCCTTTCCTGGAAGTCTGGGACTGCTCTGCACATGAGGCAGAGGCTGTGGAACAGCTCTGGGTAAACTTGCTGAGGTCCCGCCAGGTGTTCAGCACTGTCAGCTGTCATCAGCGTCTATTGAAATGGCCGTAGAACCCCTCAAGCAGATCTGCAGAAAAGGCCTTGGGGTTCACAGATTTAACCTTTGTTGAGGAGTTTTGCCTGTGGGCAGCAGACTTCAGTTCAGGAAAGATGCCTCAGGGTATATGGTTCCCAGATACACCAAGCAGGCCTGGGGCTCAGCAGGAGCACAAGTGGTGGTGGTGGTGGGGTCCTATTGCTAGGATTGCTAGGCAGCCCACGCTTCTGTGACTTTTGTGACTGAGACATTTGGCTTGGGACTCTGAAACTGCATCAGCATTTGTTCTGTGGAGTATAGCAGTTCCAGAGGCAGGCAGCTACCCAGACAGCCATCTGGGGGCACATCCAAGCTAGGTGCATGAGGCTTTTTTTTTTTTTTTCAATGTTTTAATTGTAACTTGGATTCTAAAGTATTGTCATTAGATATGGTTTAAAAACAAAAGTCAAGTTTAAATAGCTTTAGATTTTTGGGACATGTTGGATTCCATTTAGGAATGCTTATTAGAGCTGGGCATGGTGGTACACATGTGTAGTCCCTGCACTCTGGAGGTGGACACAAAAGGATTAGGAGTTTAAGGTCATCCTTGGCTAATACAGTTTCAAGACCAGACTAGACTACATGAGACCCTGTCTCAAAAATAAAAAACAGGGACTGGAGAGATAGCTCAGCAGTTTTACTGGCTGCTCTTATAGAGAACCCAGGTTTGCTTCTCAGCACCCACATGGCAGCTAACAACTATCCATAACTCCAGTTCCAGGGGATCTGACACCCTCTTATGGCCTCTGTGGGCATTACATGCATATGGTACACTTACACACATGCAGGCAAAACACTCATACACATAAAATAAATTATTTTAAAAATACAAAAAAACAAAGCAAAAACCCCAAAACCTTGAATGGAAGAAATTCTCAAAGATAATGTCTACCCAAATACTCCAAAATTTAAAGAGCTCTGAAATCTGAAGCACATCTGGTAGAAATCATTTCAGGTAAGAGCTATCGGCCTCTTCAGTCTGTGCCCATCAGTAATGAAGAGGTTAAGTACATCACAGAAATTTATTTTATGTAAATAAGTGTGCAGTCACAGGAAAGATGGACCAGGCCCTTCATGGTGGGAGAGAGAATCAGTCACGGACAGGAAGCGGCCTGGGTACCCATCTACTTATGCTTCATAAAACCACTCATGTTTATGTTCATGTAGGTGTTCACACATGTAAACTGTATAAAGAGGAGGCCTGGAAAGGTTAGGTGGTGGTGCATACCTGTAGTCAGGGGGCTTGGGAGGCTGAAGCAGGAGGATAATTTGAGCTCAGTCTGGACTATAAGAAGACTTGGAAAAACCTAATTAGCTGAGCATGGTGGCACACACCTTTAGTCCCAGCACTTGGGAGGCAGAGGCAGGTGGATCTCTGTGATGGAGTCTATCTTGGTCTCCATAGCAAGTTCCAGACCAGCTGGGGTTACAGGGAGACCCTGTCTCCAACCGCCCCCCCCCAAAAAACCCATAAGGCAGTCAGTTACAGAACCATGGCCATGCAGCTCTGTTAAGTTCTGCCCGTATCTTTCCCTTTTTCTCTTTCCTTGAGATCCCAGCTAAAGCCTGGGCATTTTGAACTTCCTCATTCTTCCCGTGAAACTCTCCCTGCTGCCCCCTACCATGCCTGCTGAACCCCCATCGTTGTCGAACATGCCCACCTAATTCAGAAGGCATGACTCTCTCTTCCTCGTCTTCAATGCCCTTCTGGCAGCCATGGAGGTTTCCAGCTTGCTTGCCTCGGGGCGGGTGCTTCTTTTAAACACTAATAAAATTGTTCCCAAGCTTTAGAAAGAAAAACAAATGAAGAAAAGATTTTGCCATGTGTTCCAGTGAGACCTGCAGGGCAGCTGGGAAATGTTTTCATTTAGGATTCTACCTATGCTCCTATGTGGAAACCTTTTTTTTTTTTCACATACAATTTGCTTTTTATTTTTTTTATTTTTTAGAAGCAGCATTTCATTACAGCTTTAACGTAGTCAATAACAATTTCCAGAGCAAAGATACATCTCTTTCAAAAGTGGCTATAAAATTTTTAGGTTCTTTTTTAACAATGAATCTATGTGCCATAGCTGTTTAAAGAAATTTTAACTTTTTGTATTTTGCACAGAAGGAAATCATGTTGTTTTGCATACCTGTTAGGCATAGTACATGGGTTCCCTCCACTCGGGTTCCAGGTGGTTCTCTAGCTGGCGGCCCTGTTCCCTGTCTAGTTTCACCTTTGCTCCACCCCTACGAAAGCAAAGGCTCATGTTCCCATCTTGTCTGTGCGCAGATCTGCGGCAGGAATTAGCCGTGCAGCAGAAGCAAGACAAGCCCAGGACACCCATGCCCAGCTCAGGGGAAGCGGAAAGGACGGACACAGCCGTGCAGGCCACAGGCTCTGTGCCATCTACTCCTGTGATTCACCGAGGACCCAGCTCTGCATTAAACACACCAGGGACGTTGAGGCGTGGTAAGAGGATGGGGCAAAGGGAGGATTTTCTTCGATGTGAGAACCTGGCATGGGTCCTAGGTAGGATGGCCCCAGCCTGCCTGGGGGGCAGGGAGCAATGTGGTGTTCAGCAGGGCAGGGCATTGCATCCATAAGAGAAGGGTCCTGAATATGAGGTTGGGCGTTGCAGATCCTTTGGTAAAGAACAGGAACTGTCTAGAGGGGCAGCAACGACTTGACTCAAGCCTCAGAGAATGTGGGTACAGCCTGGCAGACCCTCCTGTGCTTCCTGCTTCCTTAGGACCCAGAAATCCTCTTAGAATGGGAAGGCCTAAACATCATAGTGACCAAGTAAAAGCCGAAAGCTTCATGAACTGAGTGTTGTGGTGCATACCTGTAATTCCAGTACTCAGGAGGCCGAGGCAGGCAGATTAAGAGTTCAAGGCTAGCCTGGGCTACATAGTAAGATCCTGCCTCATTCAAATAAATACATAAATAAGTAAGTAAATAAGGCACTGGGATCTGCGACACATCCATCTGGAAATGGGTCCTGTATAGCCAGTGTGGTTAAAACCAAGAAATTTGAGTTCTGTCCCTGGCCCTTTTGCTCATTGCCTAATCAGGAGACTCTCTGGTCAGGCCACTGAAGGCAAATAGACACCACTGTTGAGTGTCCTTCATGTGCCAACAGTCTTCAAAATAGTTTACGTTTGGGCTTCACAGAACTCTCACACGCCCAGCAATCAAGTGCCAGTCCCACCTGGCAGAAGCAGAGACCAAAGTCTCTGAAGTCACCCAGCAGATAAGAGGCAGAGTTGGGGTTTGCACCCAGGTGGGCCAGCTCCAGGATCTGTTTATCTATGAGCTTGCACTCTTGGTAGGAGCCTTGGTTGTGAAGAGTGGTTTGGTTTCTGGAGTCCCAAGCTTGTTTTCTGTGCTCTGGGGTTCACACGACTCACCTGGGGCTGAGTTAGTGGTTCAGGTTCAGCTGGTCTGGGTGGAACCTGCGGTTGTACGTGCTTGTCTAACAAGCACCCAGCTGTGTTGGGAAGAGAGCCTTGTAGAGTAGAGGTCTTTTTTAAAAAAATGCATTACATTTATTTATTGGGGGTGGAGGGTGGTGGAGATCAGAGGACAGCTTGTGGGAGTCAGTTCTCTCCTTCTACCATGTGAGTTTTAGAAATTGAACACAGGGCATCAGTCTTGGCAGCAAGTGCCTTTACCCACTGAACTGTCTTGCTGGCCCTGAGTAAAGCTCCTTTTAATGTGGCTTGCTCAGCTGACTGTGCAGGTGCATGACTATAATTCTAACAGCAGAGGAACCTGAAATCAAGCCCAACCTGAGTTACATAGAGGGACCCTGTCTCTCCCTCCCCAAAATGTGGTTTGTTCTCTCTTCCTTTCTCTCTCTCTCTCTCTCTCTCTCTCTCTCTCTCTCTCTCTCTCTCTCTCTCTCTTCATCCTAGTCATCACTGTTAATGCTTATGAACTATGTGAAATTCTTAGACTTTCAAGAGGACTTAACTTGGTTAAAAAAGATTAACATGTAAAAATAAATATTTAAGATAATCTTTGCAAGGACTCAAAATAGACAAGTCCAATAGATTCTTGGCACATTGCCCAGTTAACTCTTGAAGGCCATAAGATGGCAACCCAAATCAAAGGGAGGATACCAAGCCTCCTCAACAGTTCAAATTTGGGGAGTATGGTACACAGACTGTGGGATGCTGTGTGACATGCTTCTTACATACCCAGGTCCAGAGAGCTCCACCAGTGGGACTCCACTCACGCCCGCGGCCCGGATATCAGCCCTCAACATTGTCGGGGACCTGCTGCGCAAAGTTGGGGTAAGCTGGTGCCTTTGCAGGGTTCTGCATGCCTTCCTGCTTGTCTAGCAGATCTGAAGGTTTGTCCTAACAGCCTCACTTCCCCACTTTCATAGAGACCCATGGGTTTTAGATGTGAATGGTCTTTCCATGTCTCTGAGTGTCCTTAGTGTGTGTGGTGGGAGTTTTGTTGCTGAGAGTCTGGGGCTTTCTTCTTCCCAGGTGTCTTCCATTTTTCCTCCAAGTAATTTGGGACAATGGGGTGGTGTCTATGTTTCTTTGTTTTTTTTTTTTTTTTCGTTTGAAACCTAATCTCATTCTGTAGCCCATATCAGACTAGAACTCTCACTCTGTAGCCCAGGCTGGCCTCAAACTTAGACTAGTCCTCCAAGTGCTACGGTTACAGGTGTGAATTACCATCCTCATTTTACAGGTTGTCTTTCATTAAATTTTTATTTATTTATTTACTTTATGTGTATGAGTGTTTTGCTTGCATGTATGTAAGTGTACCATGTGTGTGCAATGCCGGTGGAGGCCAGAAGATGGTGTCAGATCTCCTGGAACTGCAGTTACGGACAGTTGTTAGCTACCCTGTGAGTATTGGAAACTAAAGCTGAGTCCTCTGGAAGAGTAGTAAGTGATCTTAACTGCTGAGCCATCTCTCCAGCCCTCATTTAATTTGGAAAGAAAGGACCATTAAAATAGGGGCCGGGCGTGGTGGCGCAACGCCTGTAGTTCCAGCTCTTGGGGGGCAGAGGCAGGCGGATCTCTGTGAGTTCAAGGCCAGCCTGGTCTACATAGTGAGTTCCAGGACAGCTGGGGCTACAGGGAGACCCTGCTTCAAAAAGACAAAATAATAAATAAATAAATAAATAAATAAATAAATAAATAGGGGGTTGGAGATGGTTCAGGGGTTAAGAGCACTGGCTGCTCTTGCAGAGGACCTGAGTTCTGTTCCCAGCACTCAAATGGTGGCTAACAATTGTCTGTAACTCCAGTTCCAGGGGACTTGACGCTCCCTTCTGGCCTCTGTGGGCATTGCATGTATGGATCCACTTACATGCATGCAGGCAAAACTCTGATTAACAAAATAAAAAATAAATTAAAAAAATTTTTGATTAGGATTCTCCTTTCTCTCTCTTTCCCACCCCCCCTTCTCGCTCTCTGTCTCCCCCTCCCCCCTCCCTCTTTCTGCTCGTTTCTCAGAGTTTAATAGAACATCTTAAAGTGAGGGCAAAGAACTTGACCTTCAGGGTTTTATATTAATTACATGCAGGAGTGCTTTGTTCTTAAGTAGCAAATTCTTTGTAATTGTTTTTATGTTTTAAAAACAGTGCCTGAGCCAGGCGTGGTGGCGCATGCCTTTAATCCCAGCACTCGGGAGGCAGAGACAGGTGGATCTCTGTGAGTTCCAGGACAGCTGGGGCTACAGGGAGACCCTGTCTCAAAAAGACCAAAACAAAACAAAACAAAACAGTGCCTGAAAGGCCATGTCTTGTCAGGCCAGCCTGTCATGGGGCTAAAAGAGCAACTTGCTACACTACGTGCTTCTGTGTTCCAGCTCCCAGCCCTGGTTTTCTGTTCCATGCATGGGTCTCTCTGGATATTTAGGGCCATTTCCTCCAAGTTCAAGTCCTTGTTTAAACCTCTATGCAGGTTTAATGAGGTAAACAAGCTAACAGTTTCAGAGGTTGAGCTCATGTTTCCTTTATTTTTATTTTTTGGTGAGAGATTGTTTTGTTTTTGGCACAGAGTCTTTCTTGCTATGTACTCAAGGCTGGCCTGGAACTTGTGGTAATCCTCCTGCCTCACCCCGAGTGCTGGGATTATAGGTATGCACTACCATCCCCAGCTCAGATTTCATTAGGTAGAGTTAGTGATTTTCCAGATATCTTCCAGGTAGTTCAACAAATGGTTCTAGGACTTGGAGATGCACTGGGTTCCACTGGGGATCCTGCAGAATCCCAGCACAACACCAAAAACCACTTTGGGTTATTCTCTGTCCTGGCTTCCATGAGAGAGGACTTCCTGTTCCTGCTTTCTTTGCGGGGGGGAGGGGTTGGGGAGAGCTATAAGAGTCTTGTGTAGCTTGGGCTGGCCTCAGTCTTGCTATGCAACTGAAGATGACCTTCAATTTCTGATCCTCCTGCCTCTGCCTCCCAAGAACTAGGATCACAGGTGTACGCTACCACATACTTTATGCTCTGCTGGAAGTGGAGCCCAGGGCTTCATGTGTGCTATATCCCCAGACCCTCATCTGTATCTTGAGTGATGAAACCATGTTTCTCTCTAGGCTCTCGAGTCCAAACTAGCATCATGCCGGAACTTTGTGTATGATCAGTCCCCAAGCCGGACAAGTGGCCCCACCTCAGGGAGAGGGAGCAAGAACAGAGACGGCGGTGACAGACGGCCAAGCGGCACCAGTATGGCTTTGGGGGACAAAGGGTCAGTACCTTTGCTAAGCTCAGTCAGGGGGCACAAGGCTGCTCCCAATCAGACACTAGCTCTGATCTGGACCTCTTATTTTAAGACTAGGATTATTTCAGCAAACCTTACCCTTTACTTCCTTGTACTGACACAGATTCTCCCTATGTAGCTCTGTCTAGCCTCAAATACTCCTTTCATTTGAGGCCAGCTTGGTGATATCCGAATTTGGGCAGATAGATGGCCAAGGAGAAAGCTGTGATTCTTCATTCTCTTCGTCCTCTATGAGGATGTCCTATCTAAATCCCTTGTTTGGGACTTTAGCTTCCCCCAGAACATTTTGTGTATGTGTGTGATATGCATGTGTGCACATGCATGTGGAGGCCAGAGATCAACCTCAAGTATAGTTCCTCAGCCCCATCCACCTTGCTTTTTGAGTCAGGGTCTCACTAGCTTGGAGCTCACCAAGTAGACCACTGAGCCCAGGGATTCCGTCTCTGCCTCCCCAGCCCTGGGATTACAAGCTTGGCCCACCATGTCTGACTTTTTTTTTGTTCTTTTTAAGATGGGGTCTCCCTGTATCCTGAGCTGGCCTGGATTCACTATGGAGACCAGGCCTGCCTCTACCTCCCAAGTGCTGGGATTAAAGGCGTGTGCACCCATGCCCAGCCTCATGTCTGACTTTTTACATGGGTGCTGGACAAGGCAAACACTACTGAGCCATCCCCCAGCCTCTATTTTTAAATTTGTATAACCTTTTAGAAACTAAAGAGACTGATACAGTTCTAGTCAAACAAGATTCCCAAAACCAGGCTCCTGACTGGGGAAATGCAGATCTGATTGATGATGACTTCATTTATGTCCTTATCTAAAGAAAGCCAGGGCCACCTCTAGACTCAGGAATTCACTAAAAGGAGCCTGCACTGGATCCCAGGCAACGACTATCTGACATGTCTGAGACCAACACATGACAGGAAATGAATCACTTTCCATAGTGCACACTAACTTCTGGACCTCTAAACACAGTTGATTTTTAATTTAACTTTTATTTTTATGTGTGATGAGTGTTTTGCTTGCATGTATGAAAGTGCATTCATATCATGCAGTATCCACGGAGGTCAGAAGAGGGCATCAGATTCCCTTGGAACTAGAGTTACAGATGGTTGTTAGCCACCATGTGGGTGCTCTTAACCCAAGTCCCCTGCAAGAGCAGCCAGTGTTCTTTACTGCTAAGCCAACTCCCCAGCCTTTTAGCTTTATTTTTATGTGTATGAGTGTTTTGCTTGCGTGTATCTAAGTGCACTCATGCCTGCAATGCCCAAAGAGGCCAGAAGGGGGCATCAGATGCTCTGGAACTGGAGTTAAGGAGAGTTGTTGGCTGCCATGTGGGTGCTGAGAATCCAACCTGGTACTCTTCAAGAGCAACCGGTGCTCTTAACCACTGAGCCATCTCCAGCCCCCTAAATATATATAAAAATTTTTTAATTACATTCATTTATTGTGTGTGGATGTATGTATGCTTACCACAGCACACATGTGGAGGTCAGAGAACCACTTGAAGGAGTTGGTTCTCTCCTTGTGGGGTTCTGGGGATTGAACTCGGGTCCTTGGGCTTGGCGGCTTGCCTTTGCCCACTGAGCCATCTCACCAGCCATTAAAAAAATCAAGTTGCTGCAAATGTTCATTTGGACACAAGTCCCTGGGTTCAACCCCCAGTACTCCTCGCCCTCCAAATGTAAGTGCCCAATAAGTGGTGGACAGTTGTATAGGGTCTTCTGAGATGGGGGCTTTTCCTGTGACCATGGGAACCAGATAGCCAGTGTCCTTTTCTTCATTTCACAGGAGAGAACACTGAGACCCACCCCCACTCCTGACATTCGTTCTTAGAACTCTGAGGGGCCCTGTGATAGCCACTGGGGTACTGTGTCCCATCAGCTAAATGTGGTTTGCTCTGTCTGAAGGTCTGGAAAACGCCTGGACTTTGGGAAGCCAATTTCACAGCCCTCCTCGCCAGCGCTGCCATCCACCCAGGGTGTGGTCAAGCTCCTGCTTTAAGGACCCTGGAGCTCTGCTGGGCAGGTCCTCACCTGCTTTACTTCTTCACACTTGGCTTTTGGTTGTTGTAGTTTCCAGTTAGTTTGAGAAATAAGAGCCAGCATCACCAGCATTCACTGTGTGCTGTGCAGCCCAAGCCAGTGATTCAGGCTGTTTGCTGTGGCCCTCTGATCTGACCCAGTTTCTGGTGTTGTGTGTCATAGAAATGAGCTGGGCCCCATAGACAGTTCAAAGGTGCGAGTGATGGGGCCACCCTTATCCTTGAGTCCTGTTAGCCCCAAGAGGTGCTACTGGTTTAGAGTCTCCTCCAGAGAGGAACCAGAGTCCAGCTTCTAGCTGGAGCTGTCTTCTGGAACATTCTGCCAGTGCTTTTTACAGCATGCTGAAATTGTATCTAGGACTGGGGAATGCAGAGGCGTGGGGTGTGGCACATGTGGTCATGTGCCTCTGAGACTTTTAATCTGCTTTACATGGGGTGTTTTAGAGATGTGTCTGGCTCTCAGGGTAATTCTCAGGTCAGTGGGATGTTGTCCTCTGTAGATAAACCCAACCCCTGGTTTTCCTTAGTTCCCTGTCCTGATTTTGGGGTAACATCAGCATCAGGACTGTGGAGTAGATCTGGCCTTGGTCATGCCACTCCTCAGAACAGGACTTCATCCAGCCACTGTGGAATAGCCAGGGCCACCGAAGTGCCAGGTCACGATCACCATGGGAAGTTTCGGTATATAGAGAGAAGCACAGGCTGTCCAGCACCAGACACAATCTGCTGGCCTCTTCTGGGTCCGTTGGCCCCTGTGCGTGGTGAATGGCTGCCTCACACTCCAGCACAGGATTTCGGAGCATCGGCTTCACACCCTTCACTTTGCTACTAAGTTATTTTCTGATGGGGCAAAACTAGCCTGGTGTTGGAGCTAGAACTTTCCAGTGCTACTGAAGTTCACCAGGCAATCTTAAGCTGCGTGGCTGTTTGTCCCCCTCAAACATTCTAACCTGGGAAAAGATGGACTTTTATTTTTTTATAAGAAAAATAAATCACAAGAAAGTTCTGTTCGCTGGTGCTGCTTTGTGTTTGTTCTCCCATGTCAGCTCACGAGGCAGGGAAATGCTTTCGTTTAGTCAAGTAACAAAACAGGAAAAAAATCTGTGTGCTGCATATAGATGTTTGTTTTGAGGTGCGTGCATGCGTGTGCATGCGAGCATGTGTATGGAGGCCAGAATTCAGCTGAATATTGTCCTCCATTTCTCTTCATCTTATTTTTTGAGACTGGGTCTTTCATTGAACCCGGAGCTCATCCATTAGGTTAGGCTGGTCAGTGAGCTCCACCTACCTCTGCCTCCCAATGCTGGGGTTATAGACACATGCCACCAGGCTCAGCTGTTATGTGAGTACTGGGGATCAAAACTCCAGTCCTCATGTTTATGCAGGGGGTACTTTACATACTGAGCCATCTCTCCAGCCCCCGAAAAATCTTTACTAAATCATTTTTCTATTTCGGTATTTGGTGGAAGGATTGAACTTTTTTTTAGCATGTGTGTTGTTTTATCTTTGGAACAGTTTGTTGACTAGAACCTTCTTAAAGCACGTCTGTCTAAAGCACTACGGTTGGTGTCCTGGTTTGTCTCTCCATTGCTATGACAAAACACTCTGACCAATACCAACTTGGGGAGGAAAGGGTTTATTTAGCTTACATATCTTGGGTCACAGTTCGTCCGGGAGCCCAAGGTAGGAACTCAGGGCAGGAACCTGGAGGCAGGAGCTGGAGCACAGGCCATGGAGAATCACTGCTTACTGGCTTGCTCCCCTGGCCCCTGCTCAGCCTGCTTTCTTATGCAACACAGGCCCACCTACCCAGGGGTGGCACCACCCACAGTGGGCTGGGCCCTCCCACATCACTCAACAATCAAGAAGGTACCCCATGGACATGGCTACAGGCCAGTCCAATGAAGGCAATTCCCCAACTGAGGCTCCCTCAACCCAGGTGTGTCAAGTTGACACTAAAGCTATCCAGCACAGTTGGAGAAGGAATAGGCCTTGGCCTTCTTTTGTACAGTCTTCATACTAAGAATGGTTTCTTAAGGGCTTTGCAGTGGGGGAGTTGGGGGAGGTTGTGTGGCATTTGAGGCAGCCTGAGACTTAAAATCTTCCTGCCTCAGCCTCCCTGAGGCATGGGCCACCACATCTGGTATATTTATGTTTTTAACAGTTTGGAGGTGCTTATTTTAAGAAGAATGTATACACAGATGTAGCCTACCAAGTCCAAAATACATTTTAAAATTTTTTGTGTTATTGTGTGCATATGATGTATGTGGGGGCATGTATGCCACAGCATGCATGTGGTAGTCAGAAGACAACTTTGTGGGGTCTCTCCATCTTTATGTGTGTTTCAGGGATCAAATTCAGATCATCAGGCTTGCATTGTCAAGTGGCAAGTACCTTTACATACTAAGCCATCTCACTGGCTCTGAAAGACTTTGGCCTTTAGAGAGGCAGTTTGCTGACCCCTCTGCTGAGTAAGAATACTGTATTTTAACTTAAACAGATACTTAGAGTATCTATTGAATGTGCTTCCCCGAAAGGCTTGGGACCAGAAGTGCTTAGGGCTTTGGTATTTTGGATGTTGTAATATTTATGTATACATAATGAGATGCAGCTTGGAGATGGGACCCAAGTCTAAACACAGAATTGATTTGTGTTTCATATATGCCTTATACATGTAGTCTGAAAGTAACTTTTTGTTTTATTGAAATAGGGTCTCATTATGTAGACTACACTGTCATAGAACTATGTAGCACAGGCTAGCCTCACACTTAAGATTCTCCTGTTTCGTCCTCCCAAGTACTGGGAATGCGGGTGTGCACCCCATGCCTTGTTCCTGAAGGTAATCTTTTAAAAAAAAATATTTTATTTTATGTGTATAAGTGCACCTGTGCTGTGTAGTGCCCACAGAAGTCAGAAGAGAGCATTGGATTCCCTTTGAATCCACTGCCATGAAGGTGCTAGAAATTGAAGCTGGGTCCTCTTCAAGAGCAGCCAGTGCTCTTAACTGCTGAGCCATCTCTCCAGCCCCTGAGGGTTACCTTATACAATATTTTTAGTGTGTCTGAATTTTGATTATGACCCATCACATGTAGAATTTTCCAGCTGTGGTAGAAAAAGGTCTTCAAAAGGGCACTAGGATTTTCAGACCAGATACTTGGGCAGTACACAGACATGGGTTTCATTATAAAACTGGTCTCCTTGGTTATGTTCGGGGGGGGGGGCAGTGCCTTAGCCACAAAGCATGGTACTCCTCTGAAATGGCAAGACTAACTCCATTTTGCTCTAGCTGACTTTTGTTTTACCGTGTTTTTGCCCAGCCATTCCCCCTGCGGCCAGCTATTCAGAATCTCATGCGGTTTCAGAGAGTAAATTGTTTCTACTATAGTGGAAAACTTACAAGTAGCCAGGTAGCAAGTCCAGGTAACATGTCCTCCCACCCAGCCTAACTAAAACTTAAACCTGCCCTGGTCTGGTGTAACTATACTGATCTGATGTAACCACAGTTATTGGCTTTACCCCTGGCATGATGTAATTGTGGTTTTAAGCTTTATGAATCCTGCTTCTCAGAGTCGTCTTGGGCATTAGCCCTGCCTCTGACTGCTGGCTGTTAAAGGACACCTAATTCGACCATCACTGTGTGACATTCCCCTGAGCATCTCGCTCTGCGTTATATGACCCTCCAGCTGCCCACGTCCAGGGTGGTGAGGGCCTTCATACAGACACCCATTACATCTTCACTCATTTTGTGAGCAATAATTTTTAATTTTATTTTATGTGTATGAGTGCATTGCCTGCATGTGAGTGAGTGCAATGCTGTGGTGGTCAGAAGAGGGCTTCAGATTCCTCTGGAACTGGAGTTAAGGACGGTTCGTAGCCACTATATGGATGCTGGGAATCTAACCCGGGCCCTCTGCAAGAGCAGTCAGTGCTCTTAACTGCTGAGACATCTCTGTGAGCAATAATTTTACCTCCCTATGCCCGTTTATTTATGAAATAGCTAATTTCACGGGGTGACTGAGAATGCCTCTTCCTGCTCTTCTCTTTAGAAAACAGCTTGACAGAAAAGCCGACTGCAGTCTGTGACTTACAACCTTTTATTAGTGAAAGTGTCTGTAGGTACAATCCGGGTGCGCATAAGACAGTGTGCGTCTCTGCTCTCCGCCCTCGGAGCAGTGTTTCCTTTTTAATCCGTGACTACAGAAGCCACTTGGTCTTGGTGAATTGTGTGTGTCTGAGGCGTGGCAGCCAGGAGAGGGGAGGGAGTTCTCAAACAAGGGTTTTCCTCACAGAACTGGAGGGGCTGGCGGCGTAGGAGCTGAGTTGGGAGTGGGCTGGGGGCAGTGGCACCCATTTTGGTAACTTCTTCCCCATTCCGTGTAAACAAAGTTGCTGGTGACTGAGGATGTTTTCCTAAAAACTCACTACACAGATCCCAAGGCCCTTGCCTGAGTCTCCTCCTGGATTTTTGGTTAGTACATCCTAAACCCTGAATTCACACCCTGTGTGCAGGGTGGCAGTTGATGGTCATGGTAAGGGGTGGGGGTGAAGTCTGCGATTTGAGAATGGACCGAGACAATGCTAAGTAGAGTCTGCTGGGTTTTGTTGTTTGGTGTGTTGTTTTCCCTGCTGTGGTTGGTGTAGAACTCTGAGTTTATTCATTGGCTTTGGTTCCGTTGAAGTCTGAATCTCGAGCATCCATTTCTTCCTCAGAACCATCTGCATTTTCAATAACTCTACGTCCTCCAGACCTTCTAGAAGGAACGAATGAGGTCTCGTTTCCTCGCCTGCAGGTTTGAAGTAGAAAACACATGTGTCTTTAGTAGAGAAATCTCCCACCAGGTTGGGATATGTTTGGATCAGGGGCTGAGACCAAACACACACTCAACATGAGTCACAGACATTGAGGCTCAGGACAGGTCCCAGTTGGTCTTACAGGTCTGGGTGGTTCAGTTGAAATGGGATGCTCTGCTTTTAAAAGGTGTCTGGTTAAGTCACTTAAGATTCTAGTCCACTATGGTCTTGGATTTGGAATAGCAGAAAAAGGTAAAAAATGGGTAAAAAAAAAAAACCCATGTTTTTCTTCAGAGTGGGTGGGTAAGAGAGCATGCTGTGCGCCGTGTGCTTCCATGCCCTTTCCCGAAAGGGAAGCAAGGTAGGGTTTTAGGTTTTCAGTTGGAAGTTGATTTTCAAAATGGACGCCACCAGATGTGGTGGCACATGCCTTTAATCCCAGCACTCCGGAGGCAGAGGCAAGTAGATCTTTGTGAGTTCAAGGCCAGCCTGCTCTATGTAGTGAGTTCCAGGCCAGCTGGGGCTACAGGGAGACCCTGTCTCAAAAAAAGACAAAAAATAATTTCAAAATGGACCCCAAAGGCAGACAGGGAAGGACTCGACAGCGCCCCCTGCTGGTATGGTGTTTCTGACTGTGTTCTGCCACGGTGGAGATGGTGTCAGGCTTGAGAGTGTTTTTGCTTAGCATGGTGGCCAGATATCTAACAAAATGAGTGCTCAATGAATACTTGTTTGAAAAATTATGTGAATCTGAGGTTGATATTTGCTCCAGTGGACAGGGCAGCCCTGTGTTCTCACTGTCCTGTCTTCTGGCCCCCTCCTAGCTATCCGGGTCCACCTGATTTCACACATGGGGCTGGTCACATAACATGCAGCTTTAGATGGGAGGGGGGAGTACAGAGTCATTTGCAGTTAGTTAACCTTTGCTATTTGACAGAAATGCTTATGTGGATTCTCAGTGAGCCAACATGTGCTCTTCATGGGCCCTGGCCATCGTGGCCTTCTTTGACCTGAATCAGAGGACAGGTACTAAGTCAATTTAGGACACCTAAAGCAAGCTGAATTCAGGTGACAAAAGCAACCTGTTCGCCACAGGAAGGCTGGAGGGAGAAGCCAGGAAGGTGAGCCCACCCACTGAGCCCAAAGGAAAAACTCAGACAGGTAACACCCAGAGGCACAAGCGAGGCCCAGAGATTCATGATCGCCAGGTAGGGGAACCCCCAACTCGTGTCTTTTGGGGTTTCCCGAGGTGCAGTGATCAGGAATAAATACTTAAAGTTGTAGTCACTACCAAATTAAGACTCCCAGGCCAACTTTAGGGGGAAACTTTTAGGCTTCAGCTTCATTCGAGGGTGAACTGCCCACCCCCATTTCCTCTCAGTGCTGTAGGTCAGAGAGGAGGGTTCTACAGTACAGGGTGGAGAGGTGAAGGTCAGCTGCCCTCCCCCTCACACCTCTGGCTTCAGAACCCGATGAATGGTGGTGTAGGGCTGGAAACAGTGCCTAAGTCTACTTCAAGGTTCTAGACACTGTTTTTGCCTTTTGGAATGGGTCTGTATTTTCTAGCTAGAAAGGTTTAAGGCATCAATTTGCCCTGTAACCTCAGAAGGTCATGCCCAGGTCATCAAAAGCTCTCTGATCAGCTGATGTCTGCAAGGGCATGCTTTCAAGGGTTTCTTTTGGAGGAAGTTGTTTCAAATCCTAGACAAAAGATTGAGGCTGACTTGCTATTACAGGAAGTAAGGGACCCTCTGCAAAGGTTTTAAAGGGGCTCATCCTGGAGACCCAAGGGTCCTTCTAAAGACTAGGAGCTTATCCCAGGCACTGTAGGCAAAGCCAAAGCCCCTGCTGACTGGACGCTCTGCTGCTCACCATGCATCCCCCACTGATGCTCTCTGCAATACCCAACTCAGCTTTAAGTATTTGGTCGCAAGAGCAAAGTTGTGTTTCTCGAAAAGATGAATATACATGAGGGTATCCTTGGCCCCGGGGTAAGAGGTTGGGAACTCCAAGCATCAGTTGCCTGACTACACCGTGCAAAATAAAAAGTGCTTAAAATTCCAGAGAAGCAGAGGCCCCTGTGTCCTCTCTTGACAAGGCCACATGTGCTTTCTTGAGTCTTGGACATCCATTCTTCTGTCTTTGAACATGTTCAAGCCCATGAGGCCTCCAGAAAAGACTCCTGCAGGCAGCAGCTGAAATGCAGTGAGCGGCAAGCTCAAGTTCAAGCCACACAAAGCCCTGATCTGTGCCATGGCAGCCAGAGCTTACGTCCTTTGTGGACAGGGATGTGCACGCTTAGCTGTGAGGACATACGTTTCTGGGCTGTGGTTCACTGTGGTCCTGTGCTTTGTTATTCCTGACTTGTGACCCAGGCCAGACAGAAGTCATGTCTGTTAGGGCTGTGTGCCTCGATGGGGATGCCTCAACCTGTATGAGGGAAAATGGCACTGCTGAGTGACCTGCCAGGGTAAGGGTGGCCTTAGCATGCAGGTAAGAAACATCCAAACAAGGGCTGGGGCTGTAGCCCAATTGGTAGAGTGCTTGCCTTGCCTAGCACTTAGCCCTGGCCTCCATGCCGATCAGTGTGTAAACTAGGTGAGGTGGTGCATGCCTATAAACCCAGCACCTGGGAGACAGACAGAAGATGATCTACTGTTCATGGTCATCAAGAGTTACATAGTGAGTTTAAGATCAGCTTGGGCTACATGAGACCCTGCCTCTAAATAAATAAATACACATGCAGAGCTTAAAAATCTCATGTCAATGCACTGTTCAGGGTGTCTGGTTAGAACCCATGTCATTTGGCAAAATTCCAGAAGGAAAATTGACTCAAGAGATGATGTCTGCTCCTCATGTTCATCTTAATTTTGGTAAAAGACAATTTGGAATTAAGTATACAAGCCTTTAGATTTTGCAGGGATCTCAGAAATTTGAAAAGACTAGGGAAAGGGAGAACACAGGGAGGGGGCACTGGACACAAAGGAAACGGGACAGCGGGACACACAGGAGCTGCAAAGCTGGAGGCACGAGGTACCTGGTGGGTCACTGCGAAGTTTCCTGTGGGGGAGGCCCTCTGAAACAGAGAGAGAGCCCCCGGAGGTTACCATCCAGATGAGGGAGCAGCCCAGTTAAGTACGTTTCTGATCATTATAGACATTCGCTTCAGTCAAAGGCGCTTTTAAGTCAGCTTGAACCAGAAAGTGAGTCTGGGAGAGGCTGGTATCTCAAACATGGCCAGGTAGCATATAAACTGCTGTCCTCTAGAGTCTCCCTTAAGAACCTCCTAGAACCCCAGCATTGCATATCTACCTAAAGGTAAAGCATCTGGGAAAGCCATTGGGAAAAACTAGTGTTGAACTAGAACATATCTCTTATTTTTCATTCTATTACTGCCCCCCCTTTTAAAAGATTTCTTGTTTTAAATTATGTTGCATGTATAGGTACATACATGTGAGTGCAGGTGCCTGTCGAGGCCAGAGGCATTAGAGCTCCCTGAAGCTGGAGTCAGCAGTTGTGAGCCGGCTGACATGGGTGCTAGGAGTCAAACTCAGGTCCTTTGCAAGAACAGTTTGTGCTCTTAATGACTGAGCTGTCTCTCTAGCTCCCCCAACACCCTTTAAAATGTGTGTGTAACTATTCATGAACATGCTTGCACTGCATGTAGAGGCTGGAAGACAACCTTGGGTGTCATCTTCAGGAAGACTGCCCACCTTGTTTTCTGAGAAGATTTCTCATTGGCCTTGAGCTCACTAATTAGGCTAGGCTGGCCATCAAAGCCCCAGGGATCTGCCTGTCTCTGCCTCCTCAGCACTGGGATCCCAAGTGTGTGCCACCATACCTGACTTCTTACATGGGTACTAAGGATCAAATTCAGGTCCTTGTGCTTTTGAGAAGTGCTTTACCAACTGAGCCATTGTCCCAGCTCTAGTCTCTGTTACCTTTGATGCCCCTAGCTACAGTTAGCTTTGGTAGCTCTGGTTGCAGGTGACTGGCAACATGGCACATGGGTCAGGTGTGGAGATGGCTCATGTTGCCATTTACCTGACCATCAATGCTGGTGAAAATTGCTTGGTGATTCCTTGTCTGCTGGCTAGGCTTACCAACCTCACACAGGTCTAGGGGGTGAGCTCATGTTCCTCTGTACTTAGCTGATTCTGGGCAAGAGAATGTGGTACATTGTGTGGTTTTGATGCTGCGTGTGCTCCTAACACTGGCCAAAATGGTTTGTTCTGTTCTGGCCTACACTACCTCAGGTCCAGTGAGTGGAGCAGAACCCACCGGATGGTCAAAGGATCACTGAGCATAAGAAAAGGAATAGAGGGCACGGGGGTGGATAGCTGGGGGTGACTATCCTCCGCCTGAGCCCAACCACCCTGGAGGGGCAGAGGACCCAGTCCCCATCAGGGCACATTCTAAGGGTCTTTGTGGGAACACAGCTGTCTTGTACTGAGCCCTCAATCCTGGAGCTCTTTCTGAGATGTTGGGAAGGATGGTTTCTAGCCTGTCAAGTGGGGCCCACCAAGCCCTCATCTTACAGGGACTGGGGTCTCCTTGAAGGACTGGTTGAGATCACTGAGGGAGTATCAAGATAGATGAAAAGAGACTCAAGATGGTACTTGAGCAGTTCAGTGCCTGGTGGGTTTTAAGATAGAGGACTGGCAGGTAAGTGGAGCCAGGGAAGACAAATGTAGAGCAAGAGGCACTGTGATGGTCACACTAACTCTGCTGGGTGGGGATGGAGGACTGGATACAAGCATGGTGAAGCCTCAGGCTGCCGGCACTGCTAGTCCTGGAGTAGGGGTAGCAGAGACATGGGATTAAGGTTTTTCACCCAATGGAATGACTGAAGGAGAGTGAACAGTGCCTAAGAACAAGTTGAGACTCAATGCCAAGCTGAAAAGGCCAGGGCTACCAGGTCTTGACCAGAGCTGGGTGGCTCAGCACAGAAGTTGGGACAGGAGTAGGTGGGGAAGCTGGCCTGTGTTTCCTGATTGCTTGTTTTCCAGTTTAACTGGAAATGAGGTCATCAGTGGGAAGAAAGATGGGAAATAAGAAATTCATAAAAAGGGAGATGAGGGAGGGTGTGGGGTGAGATCCAGGTGGCCATCAGTGGGGGTAGCAGTTGGGTGGGGGGCTCTGGTATACTTGCATCTCAGCTGTGCAGAGGTGTTAAATTGGGGCTGGGCTGGGTATCAGCTAAGTGGATCCTGCAAACAAAGAAGGGTCCTGGGTGTTGAGGGGGGATGAAGGTGGCATCTGTGTGGCTAACCCTGGAAAGGAACCTAGGGCTTCTAGGGGCTATTAAAGGAAACATAAATGGAGACCCCCTAGACAGGGGGCTCCCACTGGCAAGATACCCCGTGATGAAATTAGGACAGCCTGATGACACTCATTACACCCCAGGGAGCAGCAAGATCACAGGGAGGATCAAGGACCAGGAAGGAGGGCCTGAGACACTGAAATCTGGGAGAAAGTGGACTGGAGAGGCTGGCAGGCCAGAGCTTCTGGAAATAACTATGGACATGGGGCAACCCTGAGAAACCAGCCCCCATGCCAGTGTGGGCAAGAGTTCTCCATCGCCATCTGGCAACCTCTGGAGACATTTGTAGATGTCACGGTGCTGGGTGCAGGGGGCACCTAAACACCCTGCTATACACACGACGGCCCCACAGCAAAGACTGACCCTATCTAACACATCATGGTGCTGAGGGTGACAACCTGAGTTGGAAGGTACAGGAACGAGGATGAAAAGCGGGGGCTGGTAATCATCCATAATAGGATAAAGGAAAGGTTTTAAGAGATGGTACTTTCCTCCTCAGCAGGAAGGGGTGAGACATGGGCTAAAGGACAGGACAGGAGGTGAGCTCCCTAGAGGACATGCCTTGCTCAGTTCTGGGCCTTCTGCAATGCTGGACCTACTAAAGGGTCCAGTGAATCTTGAAGGCAGGAAGGAAGCAAGGGCTTTGGGGAGGGGGACTGGGTGCAGGTGACGCATGGGCTCAGGGCAGGCACTATGGGTGGTGAGGCCCTCCCAGCTGCAGCTCCTCACCTAAGCTTGCTCTTGAGCGCGTTCACCTCACGCCCCATGGCCTCGTTGCTCTCAGTGGCCTCATCCAGCTCCCGCTGCAGCTTTCTGCGGTTGGCGTTGATGCGCTGGGACTCCTCCTCCGCCTCCTCCAGCTGCCTCTTGAGCTGCTTGACCTTGACATTTCCTTTTTCCGCCTGTCAGGTACAGGATGGTGGGTGAGCAAGGCTGGTGGGGCTCTAACGGGCTTTGGGGACCTGAAGGAGTGAGGAAGAGGCGCCAGCCCTGGCTACCTGTTCCTTGTACTGCTCTGCCATCTTGCGCTCATCCTCCACCTGCAGCAGGACCTCCTTGAGCTTCTTGTCCTTCTGTTTCAGTGACTTGGTGGCCGCCTGCTTCTCTCTGTACATGGGGATGGGGGCGGGAGGGTTTCAGATGGGGGCGGCCCCTCTGCAGTTAGTATGTTAACCAGACACAGCATCTGCCTTCCTTGAGTCACCCCAAGGATCAGCAAGATGGGAGGGAAAAAAGTAAGGTACCAAGGCATGCTCCAGCACAATGACTCTAGAAACCTCTTGTGAAGGAAGGAGCCAGACACAAAAAGTCACATGTCATGGGCTCCATGGATATGAAATGTCCCCCACAGGTGCGTGTGTCGAAACACCTGGTCCCCATCTAGATGGTGAGGCTGTTTGGGAAGTTTGTAGAACCTTTGGCCTTGCTGACGGAAGTGAGTCACCAGGGGTGGGATTTAACGGTGATAATCTGCCTCTAGTTCTGGTCCAAACCCTGATTCCTGATCCACTAAGATGTGAGGAGAGTACAGATGAGCCAATACCCTAGACTGAGCTGCTCCAGCACACCTTCTCCACCATGATGGACTGTACTCCGTGAAACAGTGAGCCCAAATGAATCCTTCCTATCTTAAGTTGCTTCTGTCAGGCATTTTATCACAGCAATGACAAAAGTAATTAATGCGTTCAGAGTAGGCCAATCCATAGAGACAAAGAAGATGATGGTTGCCTAAAGTTGGGGGCAATGTGGGAGGAAGTGATGGCCTAAAATATGGAGTTTTTGAGGTAATCATACACGTCTGCAAATGTGTGAAAAGGCAGTGAGGTGTATGAGTTATTAATAAAACAAGTAGGTCAGAACCTTGAAGTTTAGGTTGCAAAAGTGCTGAGACCCATGATTAAGAGGGGAAGACTGCTTGTGCAGGTATGCTGAGTGGACTGCTGTCTAGACCCTTTATGTACCTGGTGGCAGGCTTTCCCTGCAGGCAGAAGTTAGGAAAAGCCGTGTGCGCTCCAGGGAAGCCTGGCTCACATCTGGAGGACCATCACTATCTTAACAGTACCTAACATATTAGGTGTTTGCTGAGTCAGGGACAGGCCCAGCGCTTCTCTCTCCATTCTACCCTCCCTAATCCCTGGGGTGTGGCCACTTAGTGCACTCCTTTGGTCACACACCAGAATTGATGCTCTGAAGTGAACTGAATATCCAGGTGTTCCACACACCCCCACTTCTGGCCCCCCCAATCCAAGCTGGGGTTAGAACTCCTGTTTCCCTTACCTAGCCTCCTGTTCAACCTGCTCCTCCAGCTGTGCGATCTTGGCCTCCAGCGCTGCGATGGTGGACTTGAACTTGGACTTGACTGCACCCTCCATCTCCTGCAGCTTGCTACGGAGCTCCTTGTTCTGCCGCTCCAGCTGCTGCCGTGCACTCTCATTCTTCTGAGCGGCACTGCGCTCCGTAGCCAGCTCACTGTTCAGCTGTTCAGCCTAGGGAAAAGGATGTGGAGTGTGAAACAGAGAGCATGAGGTAGGTGTGTGTGTGTGTTTGTGTGTGTGTGTGTGTGTGTGTGTGTGTGTGTGTGTGTGTGTCCCCAGGGCTAGAACACTTGAATTCCTTTCTCTTCATCTACTCAATCCTTGTTACCCTAAGACAAATCAGAATCCTCCATTGTCACCTCAACTTAGCCAGGGACCTTCCTGCACCTCCCTCCCTGTCCTCTGCTCTGCCCATCTTCTCTTTCCCAGATAGTGAGGGGCTTCAGGTCACAAGATGGTCCCTGGTGTCCATCACAGCAGATGCTCAGGAAACTTTTGCTACACTGGGTCAGAAAGGGCTGATGACTGGGAAAAGGGTACTAAGGGACAACACCAGGGCCTTTCATCATGGCGGTGTTGTGGAGGGAGTCAGACAAGGCTGGCCAACAAAGGTGACCCTACAGGTCAGGTGAAGACAGCAGGCAGGTACTGGCACACAAGTGGACAGAGGGAGGAGGACCCTGTGCCCTTTTCTCAGGTCTCACTTCTCCTCTCCTCCCTTCCCCAGAGTTGGCAAATAGCAGGCCTGTGGTACCTGCCACTAAGCCTGTTATGGGAAACCCAAAGCTCTGTGGATGAGGACTATGGCCCAGATGACCTTGTCTCACCACAGGCCTTCCTTAGGTCCTTCAGGGGCTTTGGTGTGCAGTGACCCTAGTACCTGATGCCAGTACCTTGGGCAGGACAGGAAGCAGCTACCCAAGACTACATGGGGGTGGACCCCACCTGAACAGGCACCAGTCAGGGGCAGGCTGCTTCTTGTACCTTCTATGCTGAGTGAAGTGGCCCAGGGAGCTGTGCCCACCCTCTGTCCTCACCCTAACCTCAGTATCTCCTACCTGCTGGGTAGCCTTGCGGACCCGGTCACTCATGGCCTCCATGTTGCCCTGCTCCTCCTCCAGCTCCTCCTCCAACTGGGCGATCCTGGCCTCCAAGCGACGCTTTTCATCCTGCAGCGTATTCCTGAGGGGAATGCAGCTGCTGTGGGGACCTGTGGCCTCACCCTGGCTCAGGAGACACTCTCCCTCTGGAAAGGTGCCATCTCAGGTGCCCCTCATTCTATAACCGGGAAACAGACTCAGGGAAGATTAGACTCATCCAAGGTTACCCTGTATTATGTTGGAATATGAAATGTCCCTCACAGGCTCCTGTACTAGGGGCTTGGTTGCCAGCCAGTAGGCTTTGGGGAAGTGACTAGATACTGAGGCACTGACTTAATCAATGGGTTGATCCCTTAATGGATTCAGAACATGATGGCATTCCTGGAAGGTAGTGAGAGGCAGGAGGTGGAACCTAGTAAGAGCAAGTGGGTGACTGGGATGTATCCTTGGGGGTCCCACTCCCTTCCTGTATTCACACACTGCTTCCTGTCCACCATGAGGTGAACAGCCTTCTTCATATGTTCCTGTTGCCACGACATTCTGTGCTACCCTGAGTCCTGGATCAATATAGCCTCAAACCATGGGCTGGTTCCTCCAAAACTGTGAGCCAAAATAAGTCCTTCTTTAAGTGATTTTGGCCACAGCTGAACAAAAACAGCTGATACAGGGCTGGAGAGGTGGCTCATCTACATGGCATCTAACAACCATCCATAACTCCACTTCCAGGGGATCTGACATCCTCTTCTGGCTTCTACAGGCATTGCATGCCTGGATGTACTTGCATACAAGCAGGCAAAATACTCATTAAAATAAAAATACATAAAAATAAAATCATTCATTAAAAAAAAAAAAGCTAAAGCCGGGCATGGTGGCGCATGCCTTTAGTCCATAACTCCAATTCCAGAGGATCCAACATCCTCTTTGGGCCTCCGCAGGCATTGCAGGCATGGGTGCACTTACACACATGCGGACAAAACACTCATACACATAAAAAAAACCAAAAAAAAAAAAAAAAAAAAAAGAAAGAAAGAAAAAAAAGCTACCTGGCTGTGGTGGTGCATGCCTTCTTTAATCTCAGTACTCAGGAGGCAGAGGCAGGCATAGCTGTGAAATTGAGGCCAGCCTGGTCTACATAATGAGTTCCAGGCCTGCTGGGGCTACAGGATGACCCTGTCTCTAAATAAATTAAATAAATAATAAATTTTTAAAAGTTAACACATCCCAATAAAGGAAGTCGTGAGCTGGGACTCATACACAGACCCACATCAGCAAAGCCAGAATTGGGGGGGTGGTGATAAGCTCCTCTCTTCTGGGCCCCTCTATACCACTACTCACTCCCAGTGAATGAAATACCACATGTCCAAATAGGGAGGTAGGAAAATCTCAGGGTAAATCCTTTCCTCAGCATTCTTTCCTGTCAGAGCTCAAGGGAGCACTAGGACTACCATCATTGAAGCAGGGGTCCAAGGGCACATTCCTGTGCACTGTCCCTCTCACCTCCCTCCCCCGAAGCCTTACCTTCCTGACAGGCTGCTGGCCAGCTCCTCAGCCAGCTCCTCCTTCTCTAGGTCAGCCTGCTTACGAGCCCGCTCTGCTGCTGCCAGGTCCTATGGCAGAGGAATAGAGTCTGATGTGAGATGGACTGTACCCCATCATGAAGCCTCCCTGGTCCTGTCACCTGTCCCGCACAGTTGAAATGCGGTTCCCCTTCTGAGATTGGGGGGGCTCCACAAATATCAGAGAACTGATGGCTCCTTTTGCTCTTGGGCGTGGGTACCCATTTAGATAGCTGAGGGAAGGAAGGAAATCTGGGGATGCCTGGACCTGGGGGAGCAGCATGGGTACCACCATAGCCTCGTGTGAGGTTGCCACTGGCAGAGGATGCCTCTACCTCCTGGAGCTGCATGAGGTCAGCCTCCAGGCTCTTAGCTTTCTTCTCGTTCTCTTTTGCGGTGGCAAAGATCTCATCTCTGGAGGTACGGGCATCGTCCAGCTCTCTTTGGAAGTCCTTCATTTGAGCCTGTGTGAGTTAAGAGCACAAGTCAAGCCTGCTCACTTAGTGAGCACAGTGAGGCATCCCTGTATACCAACCCTTGGAACTTCTAGTTAAGCACAGTAAATCTCTGGTGCCTGGTTCTCTCCTGCTCCCCCTGCAGCTCAGCCAGTCTGAGAAGCAGAGCCCTCCATGTGAACTAAGGGCAGTGGACAAGCACCCAGTGACAGTGCCTCGTTCAGGAAATCATCACCCACATCTAAACGGGGGTGCAGAATCAGCAGCTGACCTGCACCCCTGACAGAGGCAGGTGGATTCCTGGAGTCTTCTGCACTGATGTACCTGGCCCAGGAAGCTGTCCCCTTCCTCTACTTGTATCCCTCCTTCCTGAACATAGAGCATCACTCACCTGCAGCTTCCGAAGCTGCTTAATGGCTTCCTCCCTTCCTTTGATGGCCGAGTCAGCCTGGAGCTCCAGGTCTTTCAGGTCTCCTTCCAGCTTCTTCTTGGCAGCTGCTGCCAGAGCCCTCTGCTTCCTCTCATCTTCCAGTTCTGTCTCGTACTCATGCAGCTGAGCCAGGAAGAGAGGCACAGGCTGCAGGGATGCCCCCTTGGACCCTCCTCAGATGCCCCCAAGAGACTCAGCTCCCTCAGTCACTCCCAGGACTCCCAGGGACTCAGCACAGCCCCAGGAGGTTTCTACCCCAATCACAGCTGGACAGTTGTGCTCACCTGCCGCTGTAGCTGCCTCCTCTTTTCCTCATTCTGCTCCTCCCGGGCCTGGAGATCCCGCTCAAACTGGCCCTTGAGGGCCTGCATGTTGACCTCCAGCCGCAGCTTGGCATCCTCGGTGGCCTGTAGTTCATCCTCCAGCTCCTCTAGTTGTGTCTTCATCTCCTCCATCTGGGTCTCCAGGGCACGCTTGGACTTTTCTAGTTCATGCACCTGGTAGATGAAGTGGGCAGCGCCTTTGCTCAAGTGAGGCTTGACCCCCCACAAGGAACTGCGGTTCACCCAGACAGAGCAGTGGCCTTGACCTCTCATTGGATGCATGGCTAGGGACCGAGATGGCTCCTGAGAGCTTAGCCCCAGCTGCTGTTCCCTGTACTCATGTCCCCACACCAGGCTGATGCGCCGCACTGAGATGCTGGTTGGTGAAATGCAGAGACAGACAGTCTTGACTACTTACATTCTTGCCCACATCATCCTTGGAGCTGACCAGGTCTTCCATCTCAGCTTTGAGCATCTTGTTGGTCCTCTCCAGCTCTTCTTTGGCTTCCAGGGCCTCCTCAAGAGCACGGGCCAGGGACAAGGCCTTCGTTTCCTTTTCCCGGGCCTCTGCCTCAGCTCGGTCCCTCTCATCTGCATACTTAGAAGAGATGTTCTTCTCCTCTGCTAACAACTGCAACACAACAGAAAGTTCAGGCATCTCCAGCATAGCTGAGGCATGACCTTGCTGAACCCCAGATACAAAGAAGTCCTAGATCCCACTGAGCATGCCCAGTCACTTAGGATAATCTCATTTTCTAGATTCTAGATCAAACTGCCCATGGGGTTAGCACATCCTGTTACTGAAGTCAAAGTGATACCGACTGCTACCAAAGGCTATTTATGCTTTTGTTTCATGGTCACAAGTAGCTTTCTCACAAATCAGCCCATGTTCCACAACAGGAGGAATGCTAACTGTGGATGAAAAGTCAAAGAATGTTCTGTCTTAACATGCCTTTCTTCTGATAGAGAAGAGCAGCATGTTATAGATTGTGACACCTAAACACAGACTTACAGAATTCAGGAGAGAGGTGAGCAGCAGGGACTTCTAACAGCACAAGTGACACAGAAACCCCCATGCTGTATCAGCAGGAAGCCAGTGGAAACAACCTCAGGTCCTCTAGCAGACAAGGAGACCATGAGGACAAGTGACAGGCCAGAGCAGGTAGCTGCTGGGAAGGAGAACTAGGGGTGCAAGTTCACACACTGCTCTATCGTTTGGACTCTTAGCATAATCCCTAAACTGAGTTAGTCTAAAACCTGAGTCATGTGATGTGTAATTAAAATCATATTTAATAAGTATGGGTAATATATATATTAAAGTTGGTATTTAGGTGTTCAGGGCCTAACAGGTTGAATACATGCATTCATCAGAACTGCATAAATGCACACTTAAAAGATGTGGGCATTTGATCATATATATTTTAACTCCAAAGCTGCAAAATAAGAAATGTTATTAGTGTTTTGAGACCCATGAGCCTCCCACCTCAGGCTTCTGAGGGCCAGAATTTCAGGCATTTTCCACCATGCCAGGCTGCAAAATCATTTGGGGGGCAAATATCTCTTCTAAAACATTTATGTATATACATATGTATACATTTATTTAATTATTTATATACATGTGTGTGCCATAATGCATGTGTGATGGCCAGAGGGCAGCTTGCAGAAGTTGGTTCTCTCTTTCCATCATGTACATTCTAGGATTGAACTCAGGTCGGCAGGCTTGGGAGCAAGCACCTTAATAGACCAATCCATTTCCCCAGCCCACGAGTATCTTTTAATATGCAATGCAGAAGTGTTAAAGGAGAAGGGGACAGATACTTTCAGTTTGTTTTGAAATGCACCCAAAAGATGAAACATATTGGGGTGCTATGATTTACCTTTATTATAAATAAGTGGTATAAAAGGGCATGAAGATATTAATGACTCTGGTGCTGACTGCACAGTTGTTCACCGTACCATTCTCCCCACTTTGCTATATGCTTAAATTTCATATAATGAAATGTTTGAGGAAAGTGGTATTAAAGTGTACACACTCTGAAGGCTGGGAATGTAGCTGATTGGTAGAGTGCTCACCAAGCGTCGATGTCTAGCACTGCATAAATCAGGCATGATGGCACATACTTGTAATCCCAGCACTTGGAAGGTGGAGGGGGGAAGAATAGGATCTCAAGGTCATCCTCAACTGCATAGTGAGTTTGAGGTCAGCCTGTGCTACATGAGACTCTGACTCAAGTAAGTGGGGGACACAAAGCCCTGGGTTCTTATCCCTAGCACCACATAAAATGGAGTGTGGTTGGTGTATGTCTACAATCCCAGTACTCCAAAGGTCTTGGAGGCAGGAGGATCCCAAGTTCAAACTCAGCCTTGGCTACATAGTAAGTTAAGCCTGGGCTACATGAGACTCTATCTCAAAAAGAAGAAGGAGGAGGAGGAGGAGGAGGAGGAGGAGGAGGAGCGGGAGAGGGGGA